CCGACTTTCTCCTCGGCTAATTAGCCTGAGCCAACTACCTACTTTAAAACAGTAAAGCCGACCTCCCTGCTTTAAAACTCGGAACCGGAATATTATCGCTCCCAGAACCTTACCTCGGCTAAGAAATCAGACAGCCCCTGATAGCACAACAGAGCAGGCCTCTAACAAATTGATTTAGCTTTTAGCGTGCTAGGCCCGAAAGTTAGCTGTAGCACTTTCGCTTATTTATTTAATTATTTATTTATTTCTGACAGCGTAAAAAAACATTCAGCTCACCGTGCTTCCGTCCAGACAGGTTCTTTTTCAGCCCCGGTGCCGGAGCGCAGCCCCGCAGCAGCTGTCCGGATGACGGACACAAAACCCCGGAGCAGATGAAGCATCTGCTGCCGCCATGTTCGCGGTCTCGTGCGAACCAAAACAGACCGCTGCTGCGCGCGCCGCTCCGGTCCCTGCAGGCTTCCGTAGTCGTGACGCCAAAAACTGTCGTGGCAAGATGGTCAGAAACACGGCGAAAGGGTAGTCTTGCGGGTATGATCAGAAAGTCATTTATTGATGGGCAGACATGAAACAGAAAGCAATCACGAAGTCTGTTAGATGTGGGCCCCGGCTGTCATAGGCCGGGCAAGCAATGTTATACTGTCAGTTATCATGTGTGATAATGAACAACCAATTAGAATCTGCCTCGTTCTMMTACGTGAAGTAGGTCAACTCGATGCTGACGTCCAGGGATATCACAAGATATGAACAAGTGGACAGTGTCAAGGTGATACAGAAATAAGTATTCCACAACATCCCCTCCTCTTGAGTAAAGGAAATACTCAATACCAAAAATGGAAAAAGGAATAATTATCATAAGTCTGTTCCACAAGTGCATCGCCCAACAAATATAAAATGAGAAATAGGGTAAAAGTAGTGCAATGGATTATTGGCAAAAGCTGGCTTGTGCAAGAAAAAGTAAAAAAAAACAAATGTGTAACAAAAAATAACAAACAAAAGCTAAACCTAAAATCTAAATAAATTAAACTAAAGGTAAAAGCTCCACCCTCCTCTTGTTACACCTAAGCTAAATCCTAATATATATCTAGAAACTAGTCCTCTGTGAAAGACATAGAGGCCGTTCGAACAGCACCTCACCAGCTCCCCGGACCTCGCAGGTAAAACCCAGACAGGTGAACACTGACCCTCAAATACGTCTTCATGGCGTTCCAGGCTCGAGGTAATGGGAAACCCCCTCCCTGGGATTACCACAAACGCAGAAAGGAACAAATAATCAAAAAATGCCTGTCGATGGAAGGGTCTCAGAGACCCAGCAGACAGTCATCTAAGCTTCACCAGGGAAAACTGCACAAGAGGACAAAAACTCTAGAAAAACATAAAAGGAAATAACAGAACAAAACATAAAAACAAAAAAATTAACCCCAAAAACATCCAGAGAATGGCTAAATGTTTAAAAATCATGTACTCTCATATTTTATTCCCAGGAGGTGGAGCCAAAATTCAATCCAGGATATGAGGATATAAATGCATAGCAAACAAACAGGTGGGGTAATTAGAAATTCACAATAATAAGCCAGTCAGAAATGCACAAATTGGTTCAGTATAGCAGATGGGACAAATCAAAGTTTCATAGAGGCGGAAGGAATGTAAAACAGTGTGGCCAAAGAATTCACACACTGTAAAAACTGTTCTGTTCTCATTATTAAAAGGCAGGGTCTGTGATCAGAAACCACAACAGAACAGCAGAATCACGCCTGCACAAGGTGGAATGAGATGAAGCTGGAACGAATGGTCCTCCTCGAAAGGATCCCCAGGAAATGCCAGGTGGAAATGGCATGCACGAGGTGGCGCCTGCAGCCCCTCGCCGGTCCAGGAGCAAGTGGAAACATCACCTCCCCATCATTGTCCCTGTAAAAAAAAGAAAAACTCACAAACATAGAGAGAAAGCAAAATTAGAAATAAATCAAAACATTCTCAGACAGACATTTCCCGTGTGTGAAAACTGATAATGATTAATTAATCATTAAATTGTAGTTTCTAGGAAACACAAACTCAAATACATCAGTTCTCCATATTATCCTTATTTAGAAATAAAACCTCTGTTCTCTGAAGCCAGGAAGAAACCAGATGTCATATTCTGTATACAAAACTGCACTCATTTCTGCTCCTATTAGCAGTTATCCATATTTAGCAGTGTAACAC